CCTCTTGCGATATGCCAAGTGCTTCAATCACAGCAAACGGTAAATCTTTCAACAGAATCCTTCTGCGAACCTCATTCGAAGTGCATCCTTCGACCATAGCGTCCGTCAAGCTAGTTTCGTTCCGTACTTCTCAAATCCACATTCCGTGGCCTGTTGTTTCAAACGGATGACATAATCAGCAAACCGCTCGTTTGACTTTTGCTTCATTTGTCGCAACTTCCTACGCTCGGATGTGCTGTGATGTCTTGGTCCAAAAAATTCATCCAATTTTTCAACGGCGGCATCGAACCCCCAGTTGAGCGCTACCACCGGTACGTGGTCATAGTTCTTGAGATTCCTGAATACAATTTGAAGAGCAGGACTGCCTAAGTGAAGCAGCTTTGCTCGCATGACCTTCTGGTCTGTAATTCCGTAAGCTGCAAAGTAGCACTCAATTAACTCCTCGCCATTCTTTGACCAGTTTGCTCGTCTCAATTTGGTTGCATCGAAACGGAGGAATAGGGCGTATGTCCTCCATCTGCAATAAAACCAATTGTTTTCGTGAAACACAACTCAACAATACCTAGTGTTCATCTTGGATATTAGGATATAAATTACATTTATTTAAGCACGGATTTCATTTCATACGAACACTCGATCGAGAACAACATTGAGTTTAACGGTCGACACTGCTTTCTGAATAAAACTAGGACGAGGACTTTCGCCAGATCCGTCAGGATTTATTTGTGTTACATACGCAGACAATTCCAAAATTCTACTTTTACATACAGTTGATCTTCATCAATTCCAAGAGAATGCGTAACATTCTATAACCAACAAGGAGAATTCCGGAAATTCTCGCTTCTCTGGGAAGGTCCAATTGACCTTTGCCACCTCCAAGAGAATACTACTGATTCTCGACCCATCAAGGAGATGTTCATCATTTTATAAATTGTACGATGAAAAAAAATCATAAGCTAAAAACGCACCACAGAATTCCTCACTCACGAAACTGATCTGATAACAATGTGCAAGCTTAGCGCTACACCCTGGCAGACCGAAACCGCATGAAAACAGAAAAAGAACGGGCACTATCGATGATTTATTTTCCTGGTTCGAAGAGCATCCATAAATCTGTCGGTGTTATTTACCTTCCGCGTGCGTTCCGCTCCACCACCAAGTCGCCAATTGTAGAATTTGTGCCCTGGTCTCCTGGATGTTGTCCCGTCGTATCCTTCAGTCTCAGTGGAATCCGTCCGTCCTCTTCTTCTCGTACGTTCAATCAATCCCATCGTCCACCTTCGTCCGTATATGTCACTCCAATAGCATGGTCCCTTCCTGATTAAAAAATAGTAAGTAATCAGGTCTAAATTTACCGTGACAGCACTGCTCAGAACTTCCATCGAATTCTCCTGAAATTGTAGTCAGAACAACCAGAATCGTTTTAAAATGTGCCTTAAATGATTCTCCTTACAATTCCTTGAAATTCCCTATGTTTTCTCCATAAATACCCGTGGAATCTTACTTAGATCTTCGTTTGAATTTCTCCTCAGAATTCCCTTGGAATTATTCATACACTTGCCTAGTAATCTATCTATCTATCTATCTATCTATCTATCTATCTATCTATCTATCTATCTATCTATCTATCTATCTATCTATCTATCTATCTATCTATCTATCTATCTATCTATCTATCTATATATATATAAATGAATTTCTGTCTGTCTGTCTGTCTGTCTGACCCTTATAGACTCGGAAACTACTGAACCGATTGGCGTGAAAATTTGTATACATGGGTTTTTTCGGCCGTGGAAGGTTCTTATGATGGTTCGAGACCCCTCCCCCTTCTGTAAGGGGGGGGCTCCCATACAAATGAAACAGAAATTTCTGCATAACTCGAGAACTAATCAAGCAAATGGAACCAAATTAGGCATGTGGGGGCGAGTGTGGGGGTATAAGGAGATAATCATAGGGGGTAGCCCCTTAGATAATAGGGGGGGGGGGGGCTACGTACAATATAGCATGCTTTTTTTTAAATCGGCGCATAAGCTCAAGCTAATATTGGATCCCGAGCAAGACCGGGCACACTCAGCTAGTTATGCATAAATAATCATTTGAATTTTCTTCACACCTTGGAGTTCTCCTTAGAATTAAATTGAAGCTCTCCTTCTTTGAATTCTTCTCAGAACTATCTCGGAATTCTTCATAGAACACCTTTGGTAATCTCCTGAGTATTTACACAGAAAAAAGATCTGAATTTTAAACATCGCACAGTGGAATACCTAGAACAAAAAGTTGACCAAAATAATAAAAAATCTCTGTGAGGTTTTCTATGTTGTTTTATTTTTGTTGTATACTTAAAAACATGCTGGAAACTATTCAAATACGCTATAAAGGGTGTCCCACATTACATTGCATCATGGAAAAAAACGCTGTAGAAAATTACCTAGTTGACCAATCCTTTTAAAACTTTCAGACCATAAAATATAACCCATTAGTAAGCTGTTGACATATTTATTTACTTCAATATTTTTCGATTAACCTTAGTTCAATCTTCGTACCACTCCAGGACAACATTTGAATAGTGGCACGAAGCTAGATCCAGCCAAAAGATCGTAGGGCCCTCGTGTTGCTTCAACAGAGGAAGCAGACGCGTCTGTAGACACTCCTTGAGGTATATCTCCCCGTTTACAGCCCCGGCAGTCACGAACGGCGCACTCCGGTTGCCACATGATCAGATCGCTTGCTCATGTATTTCTTGGCAAAATTTGAAAGTTTCTGCTTCCTTACTTCCTCCGCAACATCAAACTTGTGCTGGGCGGTGAAGAACAGTAGCTCCGGAAGCTACCGGAAGTCCGCCTTGACGTAAGTTTCATCATTCACGATGAGACGATGAGGTTTCGTCTGCATCTGGGTGTACAATTTCCGGGCCCGTGACTTTCCCACCGTATTTTGCCGTTCGTCACGATTTGGAGCCTTCTGAACTTTGAACGTATGCAGTCCCGCCCGGTCCTTGGCTCTCTGAATGAAAGACTTGGACAGATTCAACTTTTTGGCTACATCGCTGACCGAAGCATTGGGATTCCGCTTAAACGCTTTCACGACACGCTTGTGATCCTGATCACTAATAGAACATCCATTCTGACCGCATTTCTCCTTCCGTTCGATGCTCAGAGTTTCGTAGTAGCGTTTAATCATACGACTCACGATTCCGAGTTGTTTTCCGATGTCCCGATGAGAGAGTTCAGGATCTTCCAGGTGCTTGCGCACAATCAATTCGCGACGTTGCTTTTCGGGTGACGCCATTTTTCCAACTTTCGAATAATTGACCGCGATAAAAAAATTCAGTGTAAGCAATACACTCTAAGCTAATTCTACCCAAATATTCAAGAAAAAATACTCAATGGGTCAATTTCTACAGCGGTTTTTTTTCCGTAATGCAATTTGATGTGGGGCACCCTTTATATAAATTTGGGAAGTATTTAACTAGATGATGGATGATGGTGTCAATATTTAAATGTTTAAGCTTGATTTAATGTGATTTTTAAGGATTATGTACTTTTGTATTGTTAAAAAAAAAGTTGTCAAATTCTGCGTAATTCGATTATATAATCTATGGACGAATGAAACTTCAAGTTAGTATGAACACATTAGTGGTGAAAACTCATCCGTCCTAGTCCGGGTTTGCATTTGCAAGCTATTTGAAAGCCGTATGTGCTACATCAGTTTTGATGAAATTTGTGTGTGTTTTTTTTTTTCAATTTGACTGGAAATCAAAAAAAAATTCCATTGTTTCCATGCCTAATAGCACTGAAAGCAGGAGTTAATAATTTTAGGTTTTTCCCCTAGTTACTCTTACCAGTATGATGTTTTTTAGAATACTCATCATTTCATTTGGAATTATCCTTTACGTTCGCCTCAAAATTAATCAGAAATTTCAAAGGTACTGCCACGAAATGCCAGAATCATGAATATTTTCTTCAAGCCCAAGGACATTAAAAGTTTTCCAAGATCCATTGTTTGATATTTGTTCTCAAATCAGAGATCTTGGAAAAATTTCAAATACCGAAGCATCGTTCAAGAATCTTGAAAAATCCTCTAAGCTTGGATTTTTTTTAACTCTTAAATTTTAAATTTTCATGTTGTGCAACCCGTTGTGCGTTAAAAAGTTAGTCGAAGAAATTATCATAAGAAGTGGACAGTTAAAAGAAAAAAACACGAGCTTTCTTCCGACGACAATTTCGGTATGTGTGTATGTGTCAAAAATCAGTCCACTTTACAAGCACCCATTTTTTTATTCAGATAACTGCTGTTTCTCAGTCCCTCCTAGTCAAACATATCCCATTTCACTCTGCCTGACGGATTCCAACCAGCAGAAAGAGGCGCCTCTCTGAATAAGTTTTATTCCCAATTTCCGATGGCTTCGTCCATTTCCATCTTGCTTATATCCCTCCGCAATCCACATTGCAATAGGTCATCTCCGTCACAAAAGCTCGTCCATCTCCCGCCGCCTCAATGAAATGAAAGAGCCGGCTGGTGGAGATTCCAATTTGAATTTGATTTATTTGCCATCGTACAAAAGATTTTCGGTGACATAATTCATTTCCTCTCCCAAGTCGATCACAAACCGGTCGGCTTTCATCTTCTGCTAGAACTTTTACGGCTAAAAGGGACCATCTTGGACGGTGGGTCGGGTCAAAATGTGATTACACTTGGAAACTTGTTATTCTTCTTTTTGTTCCGTTGTTGGTCTGGTAAAAACGAAAATCGTTCGATCACGAACTTAATTCATCGTTCAAGGAAAATCAATTCAGGCACCCCCATATCAACTCACACATTTTCACACTAACCCATATCGGCACTAGTTGGATCAAATTAGTTTACATTTCACCAAACCACACCACAATTATTCCCACGATGGTGGCGAAGTGATTTTACTAATGTCTCTATCTGCTCTTTTTCCCAACACAATCTTTTTAACCAACCAACCAACCAACCAACCACCAAACCTGCATCAGACTATGTTAACTGCCATTTCGATGTCTGCGATTGCCACGAACGGGGTGGTACCTGCGGGCGGGAGCTATTTCATGATTTCGAGGTAAGTGGAAATATCTGTTCTTCTGATTTTTTTTATATTTTCTTCATCCAAAGCTATCCCTGAACGAAAGGGGAGAGCACTTTTCATTTATGCTATTCATAGGTATATCGTCCCAGCGGGAAATGAATGAGCTTTCACGGTTTAATTCCAACGCTGGTGATTTTCCTTCAACTTTTATGGGCGTGAAGAGGATTTTTCGGTGTGCGCGATAAAGTTCTTTAGATTAAATTAGCTGATCCAGACGGGTAATACGGACGGAGGAGATAGAGAGACACGACGACGTTGGTATGCAGAAGATTTTCGAATTTCTATCAAATGAAGCAAGAACGTTTCACACAGGATAAGGCTCCCGCGAAGGAAGATGGGAAGGCTTATTAGCTTTGAAATCTAACGAGTCGGAAAATTGGCTTGCGATATCTCCCAGAAGCAAGTCAATGATATAATTTGCTGGAGACCGAAACGACTTTGCTGCGGGACTTTAGCAGCGATTTCAATCATTTAATGCTACTGGTTAGTGCTATCGAGGCCGGGAGATTTCTTGAATTTATAAATCTTTAATTGTGATACATGAAATGGGATATTCATAAACACGCTGAAGACCTAAATCTCCAAAACCTCAGCATAACTGTTGCCTCTGTACGTTTGCAAAAGCATATATTAGTACAAAGGACCTGAGCAGGAGAAACATGGTCTGAAAAGTTCTCCAAATCATCCTGGAGATTAGATATTGAAGTTCTGCAGACTCTACACAGCATTATACGATGTCTCGATAAATTGTTTGATTAAAATATCTATGATTACGGGCTCATCGAAATCATTTGGGAACTTGAGCACTTCATGGAACATCATATACATCATGTGAAATATTTAACTGAGTTGAAAAAACATATCTTTGATTCTCCAAATCATCCCGGAGATCTGATCTTACGGTGGTTCAGAATGAACAAGGCCCTCTATTATGATTCGAACACATCTTAAAACCGGTAAAAGTCTGTGAAGTCCCGTAATATCATGTGGAGTATATTGTTGAAATGACAAAGTATTTTGTGTTATCCCGAAGTTTGGATCTTAATGTTTTACAGACTCAACTCCAAATCATCCCTAAAAGAGGGAAATTCATGAAAATGATCCAAGAGGTCTTCTGATTTTTCGAAATCACTCATAAATGTCTCATCAAAATAAAATGGAAGTTATGACCAGAAAATGGACCCTTGGGACCACGAAATGGTTCACCAGTAATATCCGGAACATCCATAAAATTGTTTAGTTGTTAAAACTGACCTTAGAGGTCCGCTTTTTTCGGAAGCACTCATTGGCGTCTTATCAGAATCAACTTGTAGTTATGACCAGAAAATTGACTCTGGGGCAGAGATGCAAGATTTTTATTTCGGAAGTCTGCGAAAAATGTCTGTAAATTTCAGAAATGTCTGTCATTGAGTTGCATAAAATAAACAGAAGATTTGCGTGTGACGGGGGGGGGGATCATCTTTTGTCTCGAAATAGTTTGCGAAATTTTAAATTTCAGTAAAAGTCATGTTCGAGCAGAAAAGACCTGCTTTTGCATCCATTAACGCAGTACAGCTTTCCTCCGAAGAACGCGTTAACCACTGAGATGCACCCACCGCTTTGTCTCGGTAGGTTTTCAACCAAGCGCTCCGATTTTCTGCAAGTGACTAGTTCTCCATTGACCCTACTCACATGCAAAAAATCAGACCGACTGGTTGAAACCCCGCCGAGAAAAAGTGTTGGGTGCAACTCAGTGGGTAACGCATTCTTCGGGGGATAGCTGTATACGTTAAAAGCAGTTAATAAACAGATAAATTACGATTACACGACAAATGAGGTCGACTCAAAGTTATGATTAGTTCACTCATATTTTTGAAATGTAGTTAATTCATAGACTGAGTAAAACTTTCCGAGATTTAACAGGAAAAATTTTATTTGACACATAAGGTTCATGTGATTTTGTGGTGCAATTCCCAATTATGATATCACATGAAAATAAAGTGAAATTCTAATGAATATTTTCCATTGGATATGTGATTTAATCTTTGAGTGTATACTTCTTGAATGAGTAAATTTTTTGTCGATTCAACATATTCAAAAAGATTTATGAGGCTCGAAAATTTTACAAAGTCTACAAGTAAACTACGTTTTCTAGAGTTTGAGTAATTTAAACTTAAATTTGAGTCGATCTTATATGCCGTTTAGTGTGGAAATCCGTTAGCTGCTTAGTACTGGTCCTTTTGCATGCCAGCAGCGGTGGAACGAGCACATCTTAGTGAGATCTTAGTTAGTCCACCACCGAAATATGGAGAAATCAAAAGAGCAATTTATAGGCATATTAATACGATTCTAAACACTTCATGCTCAAAAAGTGTTAATACAACAGGATCAGGGTTGCTGAAACGATTCAGCAGATAGGAATGATTATCGAAATAAAGATTATCGAGAAATGGAGAGTACTGTACAACGAAGCCAAGTACGATGAATTGGTGCTAAACACTAACACTGTTGTAACGATTTTACAAATACAGTTTTAAAATAAGATATATCAAGCAACATATTCATTACATTTTGCAACATAATTACACACAGAAAAACTTGGATAAATATTGCACAATTTGCTGATACCAACCGTTTTGCCTTTCTCGTACACCAAGGTGTACCGAAAGACTATGATATCTTGAAACAAACAATTTTTTCCAAGACCCGGAGAGACGAATGGCATATACCAATAGACTCATCTCAACGGGATCGGAAAATGTTTCTGTATGTGTGTATATATGTATGTATGCATGTAAGATCGTATGAGTGTAACTCACTCACTTTCTGCAGAAATGGCTGGATCAATTTGAGTGGAACAAATGCCAGAAGATGTGTTTTAGATCTGCATAGATTGTTATTGATTTATTTTTTGGTTGGAATTATGGTTCCGAAGATATGAACAAAAATGTAAATTCCAGATCCAGCTGGGGAATTCGCAAAAGATTGATACAGAGCCTTCCCGTTTTTGGCAACACATGATTTTTGTCTTCTTCACTTTCTAGAAAATCCATCCAACGCTTAATTCCATTTCTGATATCACAAGACCCTTCTTTGGGGATCCTATCTACTTGAAATGTCATGAATTAATCCCCAGAAAGTGCTAGCCCAAATTTGACGAAGGAATGTGCTGATGAGGTCATGTTGCCAAAAACGGGAAGGCACTGTATATCAAAAACTCATCATGCGACACCTCAAATCACATTAGAATTTAAATATAAGATCAATGGTGGACATATTCAGACCCAATGATCACAATGGCCTCTTTCAAATGTACCGGGTACCGGAAGTGGACAGATTTTGACATGCGCCGAAATGCATCGTGCGATTGAGGTATCGTGGAACATAGAACCAGTGATGGAAAAGTTCGCAAAAAATCACTATGACTCGCGAACTTTCCCCTTGGAGAACTTCGTGAAATATTGCGAACTTTTCCAACACTGCATAGAACTCAACATAATGATTAGTTCAAGCATTTATATTGATTTTCCTTAACCTGATCCTTTGTAAAAGTTTGTAATAGGGTTTCCTCTCGAATTCCCTTTGATTTTTGTCAATTTTTTCCACATTTTGAACGCCTTGTATTCAGGTACAAAACGATTAAAATAGCTGCTTCGTTCAGCACTAAAACCACAGACAAACAAACATAACACATTGAATATTTCTCACTGTAAAACATCGTCGCTAAAACATTACCGGCATCTGTTGAATACACTGTGGTGGGTAGTACGCTGAACAGATGGCGGTAGAGTGTAAACGTCAAACGCAAGGGAATTGTAAACGTCAAACGCAATATGCGCGCTACAGGTGGCGGTACTACCAACTACTATACTTTTAAATTGACCGTTAAATGCTTGTTCGATGAACAACTTGCGAGTGTTATGTCTGTTTTTCTGTGCTAAAACTGTTCTCGAATAAAAAGATGGATTAGGATGGAAACACACTGTCCGTTTCATTCACTTTTTGACAGTTACTATAGACAGTCAAGTTATAGACCGGCCAACGTGAGTTGATGTATCAATAAAATCCGTCAAATCGTATGGAAACTGTTCGATTTTGATACAACATTGCAGCATATTGACAGGTCTATAACTATTACTGTCTATAACAGTGACAAATCATTCGTGTGGTGGATTTGAAAACGCGCGAATTTCTAATGCGTGTTGCAAAATGCATCGCACGTTTAATTTAATTAAAGATGTAAAACAGTGTATCCAAATAAATTTTAAAATTTTCCCTCGATTACAAAAGTTTTTAAATATCTGTGAAAAACTAAAAAGTCTGTAAATGTCTGTAACGAAAAAAATGTCTGTGAAAAAAATAAAAGTATGTAAATTCACAGACATGTCTGAAAATCTGGCATCTCTGCTCTGGGGACCGATGCCCAAACGTCCCAAAGCCATATTTAGGAAGACAAAAACATTAGCGCCCAAACCATCACTTTTAGGTATATGGTGTCCTGGGGAAAGTTTCTTCGTAATTTTTTGACAATCTTTTTATGTAAGGAAAATAAGGGTTGTCCATAAAATTGGTGAATTGAAAATACAAACTTTTTATTATTTGAGATAGATCAATGCGATGTTTAAAAAGTTGTAGAACTATAAATTTTAAGCAACTTTGCTTTAGATATTAAATTTATATCTCTTATGGTTCATGAGTTATGATTATTTTAAACGAGCAGGTTAGAGTGGCCCTTAGAAAATCGGCTAATTTTAAATATATTTTTATACGTTTATTTCTCATAAAAACTTAGATCTAGATTGGAATCTCCTTTATTTGAAGAGATATGGCTAGTTTTTGTTAAAAAATATGACTATTTTTAAATTAATTCAAATACATTGAACAAATAACGCTCTCACAGTTTTTTCTTAAAAAATGAAAAATACACGATCTTTTAAATGGAATCAAAAGTTTGAAAATTGATCTCCTCCATTTAGAGCTATTGACAATTTAAT